TACGACAGCAAACAGACAGTAGTGGCATTCTTGTTATCGGACTGGAACGTATGCATGAATATGAGCACGATGCTGATCGTGTTCAGCTAGTTCTAAGAGATCTAAGATCTAACCAGTGTGATTGTGCCACCGCTTCCGACGAATAGCGCGGATAACGACTGCATGCGATCTGTGTTGATCATATTTGGCGAAAGCGCCACTTTTTTTCTCTCTCCGCGATCGCGTGAAATAGCGCCTAAAACACTCCGCATGGTGGCAAATGCACTCCTCTTCCTACCCCCCACCCCACCCCTCGCTTGCCCCTGTTGACAATGGAGTAGTGACAATCACGTGCCCATGTGTGCAACGTGTTGTTACGTGTTTCTTCACAATCCAAAAGTTACACGCAAAGCATGCGAGGTTCGAGCGCGCGTGAGAGAAAGCGAGAGAGAGAGAGACAACGAATAATTAAAAATTTCGCGTTTCTGTCTGAGAGGTGTGTCTGTTCCAATTGTTTTCCAGTTGTGTGTTTTGACAAACTACGCTCCCGCATTTACATTGCACCGCATATTATGTGATATTAGTAGTAGTAGTGGTAGTACAGAGGCCAATTTGGTAAAGCCATCTTCAATCTTCTCCAGTCTGGTTTTTTTCTGAACGATTACAATTGTCTGTGTGAAATGAAGTTTCCTGCGAACTGAATGTGGATATGTATAGTTTTTGGTTCTGTTTAATAAACAAATTTTGTATGCTTCATACGATGGTTTGATATTCCTTCCCAACTATATATGTCCACTTGATTGTGAGCAAAAATGTCAAACCTGGTGAGGGTACGGAACAAGCAATGCTGAGGTTTGACGCAGAGTTTTAGGTAATCGCGGTCACCCACTGGACCAAGTGGGTCGATCTCCATAGATTACGTTGGTTAGTGCATGCCCTACACATTCCACCCAAAATAGATTTCCACGACATGCGATGTTTGCCCACAAACACACTGATTGGAAGAAAGTCAGAAGTGGGCAAATTAAGATATGAAAATCCTGACCAGGAGTCTCGGTCACATAGACCGTGTTATTCTCCCGTAGATAGTGACTTTGGATTAGAGGCATTAAGTGATCTAGCTAAATATAGCAAACGGTGGCGTTCGTGCGTCTTCTCCATTTGTCTTTGCAACCATAATCCGAAGGAATTACCTACTTGCATGTTAAAATTAGTTTGAAAACTCCATCCAAATGGACAGTTAGGAAGCAGCAACCAAAACCGCCACTCGACAGTGCACAGTTAATGGTTGTGAAAGCCGGAACTGAAAGGGTGACAAGTCACGTGATGGTCGACTGAGAACGACTTAGAGATGAGGCATACAGAGAAGAGATAACTGATCATAATACGATTATTCGAGGTCTAGATTTGTTAAACTATATTCCGTCGTTTCTATCAAAGCGGAAATTTCGTATGGGATTTAGGTTAGTTTCAGTTTCAGTTTGAACAACCATTAACCATGCACCTTCCCGTGTGAGTTTCGGTTACTGTCTTTGCCGCCCGTTTGGATAAATAGTAAGAGAGGTACAGGAAAGTTGAAAGTAGAGTCCGATAGAAAAATTTAGAATTTCGATGGATTATTGTTGCAAAGAAATTGAGAAGATGCACGAATGCCCTGGATAGGGACCCCTAGATCACGGTCAACAGTGGTTAGAGACACTGAGTGATATAGCTGGGTGTCGCAAACAGTGGCGGTCATGCATCTACTCATTATTCTTGCATCATCAGTCTATATGAATTCTCTATCTTCGGCTTGAATTTTATCTCAGCACTCCAATCTCCATTCGGCTGTTTTGTCCAAATGGGTGGCCAATTTACAGCAACCAAAACGGGCGCACGAAAGTGCATGGTTAACGGTTGTAAAAACTAAACTACACGAACACCACTATCTATCACACTCAGCCGTATCACTTAGTGTATGTAACTATCGGTTACGATCATCTCGAAGTCCCCATCTATGGAGCCTGGTTAGGAGTTTCATACCCTCGTGTCATGTTTTAGCTTGGTCACCCTTGGCTTTATCTCACCCACTATCTGCCTCGGCAAACATCGCAAACACCGCGTTCACCGGCTACAGTTCATGTCCCCCATCACGAAAAAACCATTTACTGTTGTTCTGACAAGTATGTATGTATTGCGGTAAAGAACGCGATTGGCCGTTTCTCTCAACGGTCACAAAAACGAATAAGTCTTCGTAGATCGAATCACTGTGTGCCGGAAATGTACATCGACCGTTGCAAATGGGATTTTGTTGCATGTATGCCAATTGACCAATACTTCGTCCTGGCACCGCCTTGTGGAATTGTAATACTGTAGACCTGAAACACGGACGGCTCTGATTCTGTTCCGACGAGGAACTCCGGCCCATGTTATGGAAAAACGATCGTGCAGCCCAATTTGTTTTAGTACGTTCAATGATCGGTTCCATCGGATATATTTGACTATGTTCTCACGGGCACATGACAATACGGAATAGCCGTGACATAACGCGATCGGTACAGTGTATTCAGTTCGATCTTGTCTCGGTTGTTTACTCGAACGGTTCACATAGTACGGGCACTCCGTCAGCCAGCACTATCACAGTGTTTTTCATTGTTTCAGTGATTAACCGATCTGATTTGCCCTGGATTCCCCCACCCGGATGAATCACGGTGATTCCCGGTGATCTCTAGTTGCCCCTATTCCAAACGTTTTTCGCGGACTAAGATACTGTCGCATACGCGCGCCCAATCCGTTTCTGATACCCGTTCCCCACGGGGACGCTACACGTCCGAACGTGTTTGCTCCTCCGGCCCATGTGTGTGTGTGTGTGTGTGTGTGTGTGTGTCTAGAATGCATGCCTCCTCGTGTGGGAAGCGTTTATAGATGCTTTCAGGAGATGCTAGTTTTGGTGACTGGTCTCGGTAAGCTGTTGGCAGGCTCATACACGGTCTGAACCATCCGGCTCATCAATTTGGGCAGCTCTATCGCCGTTTGATACCAATCCGTTTGCTATGATAATTTCCTTGTCTCCTCTGTCATATGTTCAATTATTGGTCTTATTATTGGTCTAGGATTTTATAGCTGTCGGTCAGACATCATAGTCTATTTCGCAGGGAGTTTTCACAAATCTGATCGTGCATTCGTTCATTCATCGAAGCATCCTCGTTCTTTTCATTTTTTCCTATCGCATAATGTTGTCTAGGGGAATACCGATCCCGGTCTACGTTCAAACCCAAACGATCGACTTACTAGCCCGTTAGATGATACCCAATCGTTTACACATCACCAGGACTCGGCCAAGTCCCTGGACACCTATCCCAGTCCGGTCTCATTGGCCTTGCACTCTTTATTGGCCCCATTCGGTTATATGGGTCGTGTGGATCACAATTCTTCCTCGTCCGCTTCCGATATGGCCGGTAACGGGCACACACTGGACGATGATCTATCCCGTGGCCCACATCCGGACAATTCGGATGGAAATGTTGAACTGGAGTTAGCGGACGATGGTTTGACCACATCACCTGAACCCAGCCCGGGCGAGAGAACCGCGGCCCTCATCACAGATTTGGCCCGACGACTAGCTGTGGAGGAACAAACCGGTATGCTAGATGAGGCGGAACCGGATGATGTGAGCACAACTTGTCCCCCGTCCCATGAGGCCATTCTCCGATTCACTGAAGGCATGCGCACAGCGACTGAATTCCTCCGTCTTCCGAATACCGTAAGTCAATGCGCATAAATTCTCCGTCACGGAAACAAGTAGTGCTGACGAGGATGGAATCCGCTTGGCAATTTTATTGCTGAAAATGAAACAACTTAAAGAAGCACTCCTAAGTGATGATCACATGCTTCTTCATAACATAAACTGGGGTACTAATAGTAATTCAGAAAATAAAATTTCCACATCTAAGGATGCGAATCAAATCAAATGTTGTAGTGTCGTTCATTTCTTCTCATTTACCACATTCCTCTGTGGTTGTGCTGATGCAGTGTGACGGTATAATTGTATCGATCAACAGTGATTAAAAAATTATTTCACCAGGCTTATCGGCAGGGCACTTTCGGGACGGGACGGGGGGATCGGGGACTTATCGATTCGCGTTTAAACGGTCGGTATTTAGTCTTTGGCGAAAACAGCATAATTTGAAATTACTGGCCCAACATGCTCATTTCTTTGTGGACTCAATAAATAGCCAGAGCATCAGACGAGTTGCATCACCCTCATCGGTTATGGTTTTTCGGATATACTTATGAATTGTCACGTGCTTTATTCCACTTTGTAAGGTTGATCTGAATGAATAGGTGTCGGCAACACGGGAGAGCTTTGATCTTTCTATTTATTTGTATGAATATCGTATGAAGAGAGATCTACGAAAGTCATCTGATTGTCATCGGATAGACGATCGATATTGGGGCACTGACTTTCAAGGTACACACACACACACGGTATCAGTTCGCCATCTTCTTCATCGAAACTCACTGACCAGAACGGCTCAGACTAGCAATTCGCTTCGCCCCATCATTTCGATCCATACATACCTATACCAATTGAAGATGCGGACGGTGAGAAACAAGCTCATTATGATAGTTACTCAAACCACCGCTGATGTAACAGCTGCTTTCATCTCGCCAGCTCTCACGGCCCATCAGCTTTTACTTTATTTTATTTTTTAATTTTTACTTCTTCTTATTAAGTAGACGATTTTCAGGCAGAGAGAAACGGCCAATCAAACGGGGTTGCCATACAACACATACACACAATGTCAAGCGGTGGTGCTGGTGTTGGAACCCGAACACACGTCCCAACCGGGCTGCTAATTTGGTGATGTTACAACCGGGTTTATCGTCAGTTGTTGTTGTTGTTGTTACAAACACCTTCGTTTTCGATCCATCTGAACTCCTGAGACCTATTCATATATCTACATTTTCCTCACTGCTTATCGAATGCTAATTTCGTACGTTTAATTTGTCCATCAACAAACCTATCGACCCAATATCGGGTGCAAAACACGATAGAATGATCACCTGATTTTCTGGGCCACAACTTCGTCATGTTGCCAGTTATTTTGCCCAGCTTCCATAAGTAAACAGGGAAAATTTTAATTATTTTTGAGTTGATTTATTACTGGATAAAAATTGAATGAGAGCAAATAGGTTAAAAAACAAATGAATGCGAAACGGGACACAACAATGCAGACAACCTTGGACCGGCTGATCAATGGAGCGTGGTGAATGGTCATCCATATATTCGAATTTAACAAAGTTAGACAATTCGTATGCAGCTGTCACACGGATCCAATCTCAAAAAACCTGTACGCTCGTACGCCATTCCATTTAGTCCTTTACTCGTGGGAAGCGGTTATTCGAAATGCAACGCCGGTCAGTTTTCGTCAATAGGAAATTAACGTCAATGGGAGAGGAATAACAAGTAAAACAAACATTTGTAAGCCAACGGTGAATAGGCTACTGTGATTGCCGACTCGAAAAACGATTTTCCCGGAGAGAAAGACACCCGGCGCTATTATAACGCACACAGGCAGTCGATCCGATTAGTTTCAAATCAGATCACCAGTGCAGCAGAATCGAGAACCTCTATAAACCTAAATATCTTCGTTAGGAGAGTATAACAAATGCTGCAATCCAAGACATAACTTCAGTACTGACATGCATGCACACTTCAGATGAACGGGAATTCACGTGACGTGAACTGACCGGTGAAATACAGTAATTCCCAGCGATTAGAGTAAGTTAACTTGGGGGATAGATAGCCTCGACGGTTTTTTCTACAACTAACAGAACTTGCGTGAAGAAGGACCAGTTCCATGGTATATATATATATATATATATATATATATATATCACCGATAGAAAAAGAGGAGCACATCGAATTTTCATCCTCCATGAGAAAGAAACCAATAGCGATCAATTTTCGTAATGCATTTGATCCGGCAAACGGCGAGTTGCTTGGAAGAAAACGCAAGCTCATACAACTTCGAATCAACAGAAATCATACTATTCAATAAAACGGACAAAACTTTGCGCCCAACGGGAAAAAAACTCATTGATTGTTATCTGACTATCCTATGGTGCAGAAAATCCTCTTGGTAAAATCAGTGGGGGAAATCGTATCGATTACTTCAATCGGGCTAATTTCTCGATAATTGGTGCGCCCTCACTAAATCAATGAATCCCCGTTGAAGTATCTGAACTAAGTGTAATGTCACGTGGCCACCCCATGTCATGAGTAATACCGTGTCGACGAGCATCGCCAATAAACAATGATCCTCTGACCTTTTTGTGTTTGTGATATATTTTGTGCATCACCACCTTCCGCCGCTCTAATCAACCAACCTGGGATCTTGTACACCAAGTGATCGAGGTTTATACCCATAAACCTTGCCTTTAATGAGGAGTAGGAGGTGCGTTCAATTGATGAAGCCCATATGGCTTAGATGGAAATTTGATTCCAACCCGCTGAGAAGCGTGCTCTGCGTCGCTTTGCACGTTAAATCTCTCGATCGGTTGGGCGGTGGTGCATAGGTGGTGAAGGTCATCGAATTATCGCCGCGGAGAATGTGTTTGAATTCCACCACCGTTTCGGAAAAATTGTATTTTAAAATATTCAATACAAGGAAGTAAAAGTGAAAAGAATTGACGCGGTACTTGAACTTCGACCGCTCAATAACGATGACGACCGCCACCACCACCACCACCACCGGCATCCCATAGGTTATGTTTCATCTTTTTTCACGTTCTCTTTTCGTTAAAGGATTGCTATATTTAAAATTTGTGCATTGCAATCATGTAATCATTCACCCATCTCCCTCGCTCGCACCCGCAATCCAGTACTTCAAAACCCGGTTCCGAATGAGTACCATTCCGCTGGAACAATACGAGAAAGATGTCCAAGTCTGGAGTCACATGATGAACCACTTCCATATGCACGCTCAGCAGATTGTCCAATTCGCCAAACTTGTGCCAGGTAAGCTACCGTATTGTCCGTCTGTTTGTAACAGGACAGTGTTTTTCTAAGTGCCAGTATTCCCTTTATCCTCTTGTGGCTAGAGGTGTGCACTGGTTGCCGTAGATCGAGATTTCCAGTTGCAAAGTTTTGTGTGCGTGTGTGTGTGTGTGCGTGTGTGTGTGTGTGTGTGCGTGTGTGTGTGTATGTGTATGGGTATGGGTAAAACAAAGTATGCTTCTTTCAGCATCAGTTAATTGAAGTTGCGGCACACAGAAAAAAAATCGGACTGCAGATTGTGCTTCGAAACCCCTCGTGTTCGCTTCGGAGTTCGTAAATGTATTTGGATAATCCATCGGTAGATAGATCTGATGCAACTACAACCAATTTTGTCAACAAAATAGCTACTGCTTTTCATTATGATGCTTCAGACACACATGGACCACACGGTGCGCAATAATCACTACCCACGACTCGTGATGTTTTTGTTTCATTTCACTTGGTAAAATTCTCCCTGGACGGCTGTTGGAGCGCTTCTAATGGTGATTGGGTGGTCTTATATCAGTTCAAGTTTTATGGTTCGACCGGATTTAGTGAAAATGAAGCTACCAAAGTTTGATCAACAAAGCGTATGATAACTCCCATTTTTCATGCCATTTTGCGGTCAGTCATACGTTTCAATCGACAACCCTCTCTTTCTCTCGGCCCTTGAAACTTAGTCACCAACTGAATGTTGTGAATCGGTCATCTTCCCGATTGATAAGAAAGGTGAAGGATCCTCTTGTGAAAACCACAGAGGAATTAGTTTAATCAACATCGTCATTAAACTTCTCGCTGGCATCATACTCCGCCGATTGTCTGCGGCCGTGAACGGTGCACGCGTGAGAACCGAGCTGGCTTTAGACCTGGTCGAGGTTGTATCGGCCACATCTTCACTATCCTTACTTACTTGCTTTTACTTTTGATCGACTAGCTTCTGCAGGAGGATAAGTCGGCTTCCTGGATGTTTTCACTATCCGCCAAACTCTGGATCACCGACATGCTTTTCGTAGACTCACCATCTCTGTCTTCCTGGATCCGAAAGCGGCTTTGGACTCGGTCGATCGCTCTAAACTCTGGCGCTGCCCGAGAAGTTAATTTCAATATTTTAATCTCTTTATACTAATAGTCGAAGCGGAGTCCGAGCTTACGGCACTTTTTCGCTCTAGTTAACCACGGAAAGTGGTGTTCGACAGGGTTGCCCTCTCTCTCCCCTTGCATTTAACTTTGTTATAGATTTCATTATGGACCCTCGTGCAAGGATAGTGGCATCGATTTACTTCCAGGTGGCAGATTGTCTGATCCGCCATGTGCAGACCACGTTGCGCTACTAAACGAAGATCCAGGTAAGTTGCAAGCTTTTCTGGATAGCTGGAGTGCCAGTGTAGCCATGTTCGGTATGCGTTTTGCACCTTCAAAGTGTGAAATGTTACTACAAGACTGGGTTGGTCTAGGAAGTAGACAAATTTTGCTATCTGGGCAGCTATATCTCACCTGGCGGACGCATCACAAATGAAGTGTCGACGCGCATACAGAAAGTTGACATTTGCCAACTTGAGACATCTGTGGCGCCATCACGACATCCGGCTCTTTGTGAAGGATCGAGTGTACGCTTCAACAGTTCGGCCAGTCCTGCTCTACGGTGCAGAAACTTAGCTTTTACGGGAACAGAATGAAAGTAGATTATCAGTGTTCGAACACCGCTGTTTACGTCGCATTGTACGAATCTGGTGGGGTAACCGGACTTGCAATACTTTGGTTAGGCGTAGAGTTGTAGGCAACCGCGGTCGCCCACTGAAGGAAATGGTCGACGTCCATAGACTACATTGGGTGGAGCATGTGTTAATCATATCACATAATAGGTTTCCACTGCGAGCGATGTTCGCCGAGGCAGGTAGCGGGTGGCAAAAAGCCAAGGTTGGTAAAAAAAGTGTGTGGCACGAGGGTATGAACACCCTGACCAGAGGACTGGGTCACATAAGTACTATTATGTTCCCTGGATGTGGACCTCGGGATCGTTGTACTCAATGGTTAGATGCACAGCTATATGGCGGAGTATGATAAACAGTAGTGTCCATTAAAATTCTCCACTTTCTGCTCGACTCTACTTTCAACTTTCTTATCTTTCTCCAACTATTTCATCCTAATGGGCAGCCACTAGACAACAACCAAAAACCGGCGCACGAAAGTCCATGATTATATATATATATTTCACGCCTGTCTGAGGCCAGACTGTGTGCCAAACAAATCATGGTACAATAATCT